CAGCCTTGTTTACCCAGACGCTGCGCACACCGTGAAGCCCCAGCCGGATGCTGCCCTTTCCCGGCCTCGAAGTCTCCCACCCCCTCCCATCCCCAACTTGGAAACTACTGCTGGAGCAAAGTACACAGCGGTGCAAGGTGACAAGCCCCCACCCCAAATTTCTCACCTTCCACAGTGCACTGGCCCAGGGATCTCAGGTCACCCCCCCTAACTTGGGTTTCTTTCCTGGGGGGAAAAAGGGGGTAAGACTGATCCCCCCACCCAGTGTGATTCAGGGGAGACAGTGATATTAACCGTAAAGTGGTGCACACAAGTAGGTCATTTCCAGGAGTGAGTGATGGAGTGAGATTACGGCAACCTGAATCAGGAGCAAAAGCAAGAGGGAAAGGAGAGAGGAAGATGCAGGATCAGATCCAAGGGCCCAGGACCAAAGTTTACTGCGTCGCATCTGCTGCGTCTGTCTACGGAGTCTGTGGGGAGTTTGTGTGGCCTATCGGACCCCTCCAGAAGATCCGCTCGCTCCCTCCTCCGTCTCCCAGCACCCACGAGGCTGGCTGCCCCCGGTGCCTGAAGCCCCGCGTTGTTAACCTCCTAGAGTCCGCTCTGCCGAAAGCGCCTTCTTCCACGGCCTCACCGTGCTTTTCTCGGGGTGGCGGGCTGCATAGGAGCCCGCTGGGCAAGGAGAGGAGCCGCCAGGGGCGGTTGCCGCTCTCGCATCTACAGCAGCTGAAGGTGCCGGGCCAGCTCTGGTCCTTGGGCCACGCGAGCCACTGGGCAACGTGAGGGAGAAAGCGATCTGGGGAGGGAACCACGGAGGTCACGGGAGGAAATAGGATGCAGGAGAGGGCGCCATCAATCCCCCCAACAGCAGGGCATCTGGGGAGGGCTAGCAGAACCCCTCCGCCCCCAGTTCGCCAGCAGGGTGCTGCTTCTCAGGACCCTCAGGGCGATTCTTAGAAAGGAAATTTCGTATTGTATAAGCCATTTCCTGGCCCCTCTGGGGCCTTTTCCAAGAGCGCCTGGGGATGAGGCGGAGAGGATTCCGTGGCCACTGAGCACAGACTCTACTGCGAAATTGACCCTCACAACATCCCGCCTAGAGCTTACTCGCCCTAGGGGAAGTGTGTGTGGTTGTGGGTCTGTGCTGCTTGGAGCTCCTTCCATAGGAAAGCTCGGTGTACCTCAGGACTGGCAGTAAAGTGTGGCGGTGAGGATGAGAAGGGAAGGTTGGTGCTCTTCGCCCAGCAGCCATTGGTTTAAAGGCAGAGCTGAGAGCTGAAGGCGCTGAAGAGGAGGCTAATTTGGAAAGCTGTGTCAGTTTTCTCTCCATGACTGTGCAACCAAATACATTTTAAAATAAAAGCTCAATGGAAACGGAAAAAAAAAAACATTAATAGAATGTGCCGTCGCAGTGGAGGCGTTAAATCTGGATTTTAAACCTACAATCGAGCCAAGAGGCGCGCCTAGAGCTGCGCTCCAGGACTCCCTGGTAGACGCTGGGGTTGGTCCCCGCTGACGGGTTTACTGAACCATCTGGACACAGGGACAAGCAGAGCCTGATGCCCCAGAGCCTGCGTCCCGTTCTCGTCCTCAATTCCCCTACCGCGTGGGTCTGCCCGCAGGGAGGGGACCTCTTTCCACCATGTCGAGGTCCCAAGATCACAGCACCCCCAAACGGGTGGAGCAGCCCCCTCCTGTCCACTGGAAAGAAGGCAGCGGGCCTTGGGTTCAGGAAGGGCCGGCAGCCGGGTCCAGCTGTCGCCCGGTAGGTCCCCGACAACTGCCCTCCACCCCCGCGGCCCCTCTGCTTTGCATGAGAAGGAGCCCAGCTGGGACGGGGGCGGGGGTTGAGCCACTCGGGACTCCGACGGCTTTAGATTCCAGAAAGGGGCGGTTGGGTCGAGGGCGCTAGCGGCGAGAACCAGGACAGCTTGGGGCGGAGGGGGGCGCATGGGGACCACTTGACTGGACCAGCCCCTCCGCGCCGGTCTCACCCAGGGCAGGGGGCTCGGGAGGCACCTCGGGTTCCGGAAGGTGGAGTTGGGGTCCCCCGAGCCAAGCAGCTCCTAGCGCCTCCGCGGGAGCTGGAGTACTGGCTAGGGATCGGCTCGTTCCTCAGAGCTTCCGGTCAGCAGGAGGAGCACAAAAACCTAGTCCGATCTCGCGAAGCCGGCTGCTGGGTTGGAGAACCATCCTCCCCATCTTACTCCTGACCTGAGCTGAGCCCTCAGAGAGGCCCACGGAGGGGGCTGATTCGAGAGAGAGAGAGAGAGAGAGAGAGATAACTAGCCTCAACACTCCGCCCGCCCCGCAGCGGGGACCCCCAGCCCAGGTGTTTTTGGAGAGGGTGCGGAGAAAATGTTAGAGGCCCCGCACCCAGAGGTCAGGATGGGCGGAGCGCCAAAGAAGCGCACGCGGGACCTCGGCTTTGGCTTCCAAAGAAAAGGTGATGCGGGAGGCAAGGTGGAAGCTGCTGGCGGCCTCGGGGTTGCAGGGTGGTTCGGGCAGAAGCCTGAAGGCAGGAAGGGGGCGTTGGCAGAGCCCTAAAACTCCACTTCCGCCAAGCGTAAACCAAATTTTCTGTATCCGCTTCCCGGTTCGTCCGAAGAGGGTATTCCGTTTGCAGAGAGCTGGATCGCCCGCCGGCTCAGGTTCATCGCAATTACGTTTCAGCGCGCGTTTTCCCCAACTTAGTCGCGGGCCCTTGTGTGGGATGTCTGAGTCCCGCACCATGAGTGGGATAGGAAGGCCAATTCCAAAATACCAGCTAGACCTGGCTAGCCACCCAACCTTATTTCTTCCACACTAAGGTTGAATTCGCCTTCTTAGCACACACTCCCTCCCCCGCAACAAAAAAAAAAAAAAAAAAAAAAAAATGAGCAAAACAAGACTGCCCGCCCTGCCACCTTCAGACCTCAAGAGAAATCCCGATTTAGCACAGAAATGGTGCTAACAAAACGGAATTTGGTATTTGAATGGCTTTAATCCAGGAAACCAGAGTAACTCTTGGAGACGAGGGTTCTCAGGACCCGGACCTGAACTCCGCGTTTGGAATAATCTGCCTCCAGGCAGTGGTCCCGACGTTATATTCGGGATTAGGGAGGTAAGAGCTCCCTGAGGAGAGAACTACAAGGGGGTATGGTCTGCGGTTTGTCTCCGGAAGGTGTTGATAGCCGGGAACCTGGAACAGGGGAGGAGGAGAAGCCGAGCCCACTCAGCCCGTGCGCTGCACACTCGAATCCATTGCAGCCTTTCTGTGGGGCCCCAGACGTCCCTGCTCCCCACGGCCACTACCACCACCCGCCAGCCGCCACTGATGCCCTGCGGTTTCCCGCCTAGTCATTTGTTTTTGTATGTAAAAGGTGTCTCCGGATCACAGTTTTCTCACAACTTCTCGCCTGGGTTGCAACTCCTCACCCGTGGCGCTTCCCCACCCACTCCTTTCCCCCTCCCGGGTGCCGCGCCTCCGGTCTCCCCCGCCCCCACCAGGAAAGCGCCGGAATCAACTTTCCAAGACCGCGCTGCGGGAACAGACACCCAGGTCTCCCGGAGACCGAGACCCTGTGGACTTTGGATGGACTGGGGGAGGAGGAACGGAGGAACCAGAGGAGGAAGATCCTGTGGCCCTCCCTCCCCCACTCCCGCTAAAACGCGCGCTGTGCTCGGGACAAACTTCTAGGCCAAGAAAGCACGAAGAAGGGAAAGCAAAAACAAAAACCAATACCCGCTGAGTTGCAAAGTCAAACAGTTCACCAGGGCTCCCGGACCCAGCTGCACCCCAACCTTCAACAAGGCTCCACCTTGGATTAATCCCACCTTCCAACAGTACTCTGCCCTCCGCCTGCGCCTTACTGCCGCGCGCTCTCAGTCCTTCCCATCGAAACCGAGGCCTTACCGGAGCAGGAGGGGCTCGGGCACCTCGCTGCCCGCCGCCCGCACCGCGCCGGGCGGCGGATGCGGCCGCCACTGATCCTCTAAACGCGGTCTCCCGGCACTCTCCCCGGCCGGGGGATGCAGAATGGTTTACAGAGGGACCGCGAGCCGCTGATTGGTCGCAGGCTGCGGTGACGTCGACGGGCGCTGCATTAAGGCGAGGGGGCTTCCAGAGCTCAGCCAACAGCCAGGAGCAGTGACCGAGCCGCTGGAGCTGGGGAGAGACGCGCCAGGGCGGCGGACTGGGCCAGGAGACCAGGGACAGAGGGACGCTTGTCCGGGGACAGCCAGCAACGAACTGCGGCCTGGGCGGCGACAGCAGCGGCCCTTGCTGAGCTGTTCCAGCCGCACAGAACTGTAGCTGCTGCACCAGGACGTTTTTTCAAAGCTCTCCAAGCTACTCCCCCTCCCCCCGACTCCTCCCGCTGCAAAAGAAAAAAAAAAAAAAAAAAAAGGAAGGAAAGAGGCTAGAAAGGAAACCCAGATTTGCCACCACAGCGACAAAAGGGGGAAAAGGAAAAGAAAGTCCAGCGACTGTGGGGTTGGACGCAGGCCCCCGGAGCGCGGGCCGAGCGATGCGGGGCTGTGCGCCCAGGCGGCCGAGAGTTGTGACTGGAGCCACGATGCACGGCCAGGCGCGGTGAGGAGCCAGACCGTTTCACCTCCCCGAAGGAGTCCGGGAACAGGGAGGGCCGTCCTGAAAACACGGAGGCCGCCAGGCAGGCCACGGGCCGAGGTGACGGGGCTGGGGCGGTGGGGAGCGAGCAAGCGCACCTGGCTGTGTCCGCCTGGAGTTGTCCCTCTGCGTTCACGATTGACACAAACACTTCTCCAAACGGGGGACATTTAAGCAGCAACAACAATCAACAACAAGATCTTCCTCCTGCCTTCCCCTCCCTCCCTCCCTCCCTCCTCCCTTGGCCTACCCCCTCCCCCTTCCCCAGGCCCACGGCGGGCGCCCTGCGCGTCGGGACCCGCTGCGCGATGCCGGCAGTGTAGGATCCAGAGCTTCTCCACTGGTTTTGTTCTTTTCTTTTAAAAAAAGAAAGAAAGAAAAAGAAAGAAAGAAAGAAAGAAAAAGGAGGGGAAATCCCGGTCGGTGGCAGGCAGCCTGGCACACACACACCCGCCCTCACACCCCGACAAAAGCAGATGCACTTTGACTTCTGACAGCTCTACCTCAAGCCCAAGAGAACTCCACGGCGCTTTCCCTGCAACCCGAGCTCGCCGCGTCCTCCTCTTCCTTCTCCGACTCCGTTTTATTTATTTCGGTTCCCATCGCCAATCTCGGTGACCTTCACTCCTCCGTGGGCTCTGGGCAGAAGAGTTGCGTTCTCGCCTGCCCGCCCGAGACTCTTCGCCCCAGGAGCTGCGGCGGCGCTGCTGTGTCCCGGGGCCCTGGGACTCCCAGGCTGCACAGTCCACCGAGGTGCCCTCTGCTCCCCATCAGCCTCATTTTCACCCCCTTTTGATTTCCTGGTGCGGGTTTTGGCTTGCACCCCCAGTGTGTCTCCTCTTTTTGGAGGGGCTGGGGAGCTCTTGCTGAGGTCTTCGGGAGTCATCCCCTAGGCTCTACCTGCTCTTCTCTCTCCCGGCCTTACCCGACCAAACCAAAGACCATGGTGCACTGTGCCGGCTGCAAAAGGCCCATCCTGGACCGTTTCCTCTTGAACGTGCTGGACAGGGCCTGGCACGTCAAGTGCGTCCAGTGCTGTGAATGTAAATGCAACCTGACCGAGAAGTGCTTCTCCCGGGAAGGCAAGCTCTACTGCAAGAACGACTTTTTCCGGTGAGTACTTCCGTGGCGCGCCTCTGCTGCTCCCACCCCGTGGGCCCTTCCCGGCCAGCTTGGGATCAGAGGTCAGCGTGGCCGAAGCAACTGTGGTAGGAGCAGCCTTGGAGAGGGCAGCCAAGTCCCATGGGCACCCGCCTCTTCGCCAGCTGGCGCGCAGGGCGCAGGGGATGCGGCCCAGCTTGCGTCTGGGAAATTGTGGGTCCCGGCTTAGCTGCACGTGCCTGGGGAGAAAGGGTGTGAGTCCGCTTGATCCCAGAAGCCCAGAAGCCCCTCCAAGCTTAGAAGGAAGCAGCACAGCCCCAGGACGTTGTAACCCCAGCTCTGTCTTTACCGGGCTAGATCCATGCCACTGCCTTTTCCTCTCCAAAAGGTCTTGGCGGGAACCGCGGAGGCTTTTGCGTTGGAGTGTTTTGAGTCCCTCGCTTTGCTGGCGAAAGGGAAAAACTCTGCCCTAACGCCTATGGTGCACATTCCAGGGTGTTCTTGAAACCCCTACTGGCCTCCAAGCGCCGGCCTGGGCACAGTGAACCACGCCTGTGAAATGCCCCAGGACTCCAGCCTCCGGGAAGACCTTTTCCCACCGCTTCCCCGCTGCTGGGTTGGCGGGAGTATCTGCCTCCGCCCCACGCGAACCTCGGCTTTGTGGCGCAGGCTCCGCTAGGAGCTCTCCCAGGCACTGCCCGCCATCCCCTTGCCCCACCTCCTTGCCGAAACCGGGAAAAACCCAGGCCTGGCTCATCTGAGCCGGGAGACTTCTCCAGACGCCCTTCCTTCGTTTAGCATTTTAATGTATTCTCTTGAACGCGCTATCTTGCCACGAAATCCACACAAACACGAAAGTCAACCGAGAAGAAACGGGAGCAAATGCGAATTTTAATTCCTCTGTACTGGTTTGAAACCTCCCAGTTTACTCGGTTGACTTGCTCTCTGCTCTCCTCTGAGTTTTTGGTGACCGATCAAACTGGGAGTGGGAGTGAGGGTGCGAAACCATCCGGGTCGCTGTGCTCAGAGGCCCAGGACGCGCTGCCCCAGGAAGCGTGTCTCTGCGGGGAACCACGGAGAAAAGCGCTGTGAGGCTAGTATCGCCGGGAGGAAGCGCGGGCTGAGCGTCTGAACCTCGGCGGGCCGCGCCTGTTGTCCCCAATACTGGCTGAAGCCGAACCCGAGAACAGCGAACGGTGCCAGCTGCCAGCGGGCCCCAGAGGCCTGGCTCCCGTAAAGCGCAGCCCGGCATCTAGAGCCCCGCGGTGGCCAACCTGCCCGGCTTTGGGCTTGAACGTGGCGGCGGCCCAGCTGCAGCCGGAGGCGCGCTCCGCAGCTGTTTCTTTACCCGCGGCGGGACTGGACCTTGCCAACCCTCAGCCTATGCGCGGGTCCTTTTGCGGTGAAAGGTGACGCTAGGAGAGAAAAGCGGCGCTCGGGACGCGTCTACATGGAGCTCTGATTAGATTTTGACTCTTCTCCGAATCAAACAGGAAAATAAGTGCCTCCCTCCCCCTTCCAGTCGCCGCCTTACCGTCTTCCCAAGGCGCTCTTTTCCTCTGGGACAACCCTGGGCATGAGGCTGGGGGTGGGGGCAGCTCAGGCCCTTCGCTCTCTCATTCTAACCATGTGTATCTCCGGCTGACTTTTCACTGGTGCCCCGCACCCTGTCCTGCCTTCTTGACGGTTCCATCCGCTGTCTCTCTTCGTTTTCCCCCTTCCACCTCTTCTTCCTCCACTTTCTTTTTCTCTCCTTCTCTGTTGTCTTTTTCCTGGCCTCTGTTCTCCCCTTGCCCCTCACCAACTGGTCCTCTCCCATCCCACAGATGTTTCGGTACCAAATGTGCTGGCTGCGCGCAGGGCATCTCCCCTAGCGACCTGGTGCGGAGAGCACGGAGCAAAGTGTTTCACCTAAACTGCTTCACTTGCATGATGTGTAACAAGCAACTCTCCACTGGCGAGGAGCTCTACATCATCGACGAGAACAAATTTGTCTGCAAAGAGGATTACCTAAGCAACAGTAGTGTCACCAAAGAGAACAGCCTCCACTCGGGTGAGGCCCCAATTCCCAGCTCGTTAGGGGCGGGCGGGTCCTGGGGGAAGAAGGCCCCGTGAAGCCGCTGCTCACCTGTCCCTTCCCTCTCCTCAGCCACCACGGGCAGTGACCCCAGTTTGTCTCCAGACTCCCAAGACCCATCACAGGATGATGCCAAGGACTCGGAGAGTGCCAATGTATCGGACAAGGAAGGGGGCAGCAATGAGAATGACGACCAGAACCTGGGCGCCAAACGACGGGGGCCGCGCACAACCATCAAGGCGAAGCAACTGGAAACTCTGAAGGCGGCCTTTGCTGCTACTCCCAAGCCCACGCGCCACATCCGGGAGCAGCTGGCTCAGGAGACTGGTCTCAATATGCGTGTCATCCAGGTCAGGGCGTGGGCATGCCACTCAGTCCCACCCCGCATCCAGACCGACATGGCTCCTCTAGGCAGGCACCCAGGCCTAGCTGGGGAAACCCAGCCTCAAGGAGGGGAGTGAGTCCTGGGAGGCTGGAGCGGGGAGGACTGGAGAGGCCCCGACACATCCCTACCCTGGTGTCCTGTGCTGTGCTGCCCCATTGCAGAGGGCATCTGGAAATCCCTAGGCTCCCTCCATTTCCCAGTTTGTAGCTGGTGATGGTCTTGGCAGAGGGGGAGGGATGGGGAGCTCAGCCCGAAGCTGGAGGAGGGGACATCATTGGACGCCACTAGGGAGTTGGGACCCTTTCTTCTGCAACACTCACCTTGTTTGGAAGGAGCCCAGAGGTCTCTGAGCATGCCAGAATTAATCAGTTCCACTGACTTCTCCACAACATAGATCTCCCTCTGTGTCCCCCACCTACTTTGTGGGTCTCTTACTTCAGTTAGACAAGCCCCAGAGCAGAGAGACGGACATCTTCTCCAGAGAGAGACGGGGCAGGCATCCTGGTTTGAAAGGGAAGAGGCCTGGGCTGGAGTCAGCTCAGGCTCTGGCAGTCTAGAGTGGAATACGGAGGCGAGGTAGACATCTGGGCATCTGTGCCACTGTGTTGTGAGGACTTCGGGCTGCATGCGATTTGGGCCCCAGTATCCGGCCCCCAGTGAGGTGTGTGGTTCACCTGCGGAGGCTCTGCAAGGATGTGCTGGGTGTGCCTGGAGGCTGAGTGTGCCAGGGAACACATTTGCAGGCTGCCTTCCAGGGGAGGCCTTGTAGCCTCCGGGAGGCTGTGCCAACCTGCAGTGAATGGAGGGTTGCACGTCTGTGTCCTTGTCAGTGAGAGGCTGTGGACGAGTATATTTTGCACTGGGAGATTTGCATGGCTGTGAAAAGGAGATTGTGGGTTTTGGTGCCACTGTCATTGGTAGACTGAGTGTCAACAGGAGACTGTTTAGTTCTCTGTCACCATCATGCGGGGGAGGGAACTGCCAGGGACCGTGAATGGGAAGCTGTGTGTGTCCAACACTATTTGGGGACGTTGTCTATGTGTGTAGAGCCCCCAGGAGCTGAAACTGTGACAGTGTGACTGTTGGAAACAACTCCAACTGCCTCAAGTCGGGCAGGGAGGCTTGCCCATGTCCCCAGTCGGGAATCCCGTATATCATTGGCTCTGGGGCCGTCTTGCGCGGCCCACTCAGAGACATAACCCCCCCCCCCACACACACACACACAAACACAACACAACACAACACACAACACGCACACACTTGGGAGACATGAGTCTTGCTAGCGGTTGGAGGGGTTCAGGACGATCAGCCGCGCACCCGAAGTTGGGGGAAGGGGAGGGTCTCCGGGGGCCTCACCTCGCCGCGTGTGTGCTTCAGGTCTGGTTCCAGAACAGACGTTCCAAGGAACGGAGGATGAAGCAGCTGAGCGCGCTGGGCGCCCGGCGCCACGCCTTCTTCCGCAGCCCGCGCCGGATGCGGCCGCTGGTGGACCGCCTGGAGCCAGGCGAGCTCATCCCCAACGGGCCCTTCTCCTTCTACGGAGGTGAGTGTGCTGCCGAATGGCAGGGCGCGGCCAGCCGGGGTTGGCTTCGTTGGAAGCGGGTGGCAGCGCGGGAGGCGCTCCCGGTTTTCTTTAGAGAAGTGCCGAGCGGGGGAGAGATGGAGAAGGCTGGGGAGTAAATCAAGGGTCGGTAGTCGGCACCGAGTGCTGAATTCCTGACCGTGAAGGACGCGGGTGGGCTGGTAGGGAGCAGCTCCAATGTTTGCACCAGGCCTCCTCCCGGGTGCCAGCCCCGCAGGGGAGCCCCCCAACAGCGAGTTCCCCCTATTGCCTTTATCGTCCTTCCTCCCCCGCCCTGACATCCTCTTCCCCGCCGCTCCGCAGATTACCAGAGCGAGTACTACGGGCCCGGGGGCAACTACGACTTCTTCCCGCAAGGCCCCCCGTCCTCGCAGGCTCAGACACCAGTGGACCTGCCCTTCGTGCCATCGTCCGGGCCCTCCGGGACACCCCTGGGCGGCCTGGAGCACCCGCTGCCCGGACACCACCCGTCGAGCGAGGCGCAACGGTTCACTGACATCCTGGCGCATCCCCCAGGGGACTCGCCCAGTCCAGAGCCCAGCCTGCCGGGGCCTCTACACTCAATGTCGGCTGAGGTCTTCGGGCCCAGCCCGCCCTTCTCATCGCTGTCGGTCAACGGCGGGGCGAGCTATGGGAACCACCTGTCTCACCCCCCCGAAATGAACGAGGCTGCCGTGTGGTAGCGGGATCTCGCACAGTCCGCGGAGTTCGTGGTTGTACAGAAATGAACCTTTATTTAAGAAAAATAGAAAAAAGAAGAAAAAAAAACATAAAAAGCAAGTCACCCCCCCCTCCCCCCACACACACACTTCCCTCAGCCTCGGGGACCATTTTCCGTCTGGGGAGTCCGGATGGGAAAGGGGGACAAGAAACAGGATCCAAATCAGCCTGGAGGCAGAACTGGGATCCATGCGCTGGATGGCGAGGTGCAGAACTGGGGCTCCCGAAGGGAAATGCAGACCTCTCCCCATCTTCCACCTGGAACCCGGATGTGGGGACAGACGCCCCAAGTGTGCACGCCCGGCTGGAGGGCGGCACAGGAACACCCAAGGCGGCCGCGGGGTCGCACAGCCTGTGGTGACGCCGGGAGCCGCAGGGAGGGAGACAGAGAGGCACAGCCGACTGAGGGAGGTGGAGCAGCCCGGGGCACTCCCGGGCCAGCCCGGAGGGTTCTGGCTCCGGGAAATGTCTCACTAGTGTTGTCTCAGTGTTCAGGAACAGCGACAACAAACTCTTATAGCTTCAGAAACGCCGACCTGCTGTGCATCAGGTGGGACTATATATATATATTTTTTGTCTATCTGGGTTTTTGGTTTTTTGTTTTTGCCAAAACAACAAAATTCTAAATGTAAAGCCCTCAGTATCAACTCTTCTACCTTCACAAAGCTCTACACACACACAGATACACACAGACACCCTGGATAGGATGGTCTCCAGCCAGACCTCTCAGTAAAATGACTTGAACATCAACTGTACAAGAAAGTATTCTACCTTCACACATACAAAAAAAAAAAAAAGTTAAAAAAAAAGACTATTGAACTAAAAACAGTCAACTGTTTACGTATAATGTTAAATTCAGGAGTTCAGTGTTTTATTAATATATCCTGTTTTGAAACCTCTTGTTCAAAAACAAAATGTTTTGAGCAATCAACCAAAATTGTTCATTTTCTTTTCCTGTAGATGTTCTGACAGATTTGCAGGGCTCGCAGCTCACTGTGCTAGTATGTAAAAAGGTGTTGTTTACACAAGGCAAAGAGAAAACATGATATTCAGACACTTGCCAAATAGAATAATTATAGCACAAATACTGTAAAGGTGCCTAGCACCACAACCTGAGAAAGTGTTAAAAAAAAAGTGTTACAAGGTTTAAAAAAACATCTTTGCTAATTTTTAGTCCTGTTGAACATTCATGGAATTGTTAATATGACTTATATAGACCCACACAGGTTTTATTTTTGTGTCTTTAAAATAAAAGTCCAAAATATTTAAATTTTATGGTCAAATATGCAGTCAACAGCTGCTACTTTTTTCTTTATATATTAAATTTCTCATATGTCTTTTATTGTTCTGATAAACCTAAGCTTGTGTGACCTCCAGTGCATATTAGACCATTCACTGTATGAAAGAAAACATGTTGAATAAATTTGTGAGTTTTTAATAAAAATAGAAAATCTGATGTTTAGATAATTGGTGTGTTATTTGATGTTTAACTAGTAGAGGGGAGGCTGGTGGGGAGCTGAATGGCCCCTCAGAAGCCAGGAGGAAGAGAGGCAGGCCTGGGATATCTTTTTACCTTGGCTGTGGCTGAATCCCCTTGCTAATGCCAGCCTTGCTTTTCTCCATGGCTTCCCCTACTGTTATTAACTACGGATTTGCATTCTGTGGCTTTAACTGATATAGTTGAAGAGATATTTGCTGATAAGTTAATATAGAATTTGAAATAGAAATCAAATCCAGGGCTAAAAATGAGTGTTCCCAGTATGATTAGGCATGAGATCCCATGCACTCTCTCTATCCCCCATTCCGCACATGTGAAGGTGGGACTTGTGAAAGTCAGTTACCTGTAAATATATATAGTTAGAGGTGGTCCTTTTCAGTTTCAATTCACTTCCCATAGATAATCCTGCTCTTTAATTTGACGGTTTAAAAGATAATGTAAAATAGATGCACAGTACAGCTAGAAATTAAATACTTTAATCCCTTTCAGAGAACTGACGGTGACAGTGATGGAGTTGTTTTACAGTGTTTGTTACATTTGAAGTTTCCTAAAGGGAAAACTATTTTGCCTGGCACAAGATACATACTACCTTTCTCTGAAAGATGAGCAAAAAATAACCAATATAGAAATCAAATTTCATCTGGGAGCTGCCAATAGGTTCTGAAAAGTACTTCAATCCCTCCCAAGCCTTCATTAAACATGGAAGGAATTTAAATATTTATCTACTATGGAATACGTGTGTGTTTAATATAAGATGCTATTAGAGTACCAGAATTTCTAAATTTCAGCCTGGATTATTTATTTCGTTTTAAAAATTGAAGGTTTTACATTAAATGGTATGTGATTTCCATTGTCGTTTTCATATTTTGTTAAGACACAACCAAGTGTATCTTTCCTGCAGGGAAGGCTCTAAAATGAGCAATATTTCACCGCATCCATATGATGGTTTGTCTAATGGGGAGGACTATCAGGAAGGAACCTGACAGTGTTCTTTCAGAAATCCAAATTTATGAAATACGGAGAGAATTTTGAAATTCCTAGCTTCTGCATGCAGCACAATTCTTGACCTGCTTTTATGCAATCCCTGGATCAGCTGTTTTTGCCCTTTTAGCATGTATATACATTAAGTCACAGCCAACTTATTCATTATAGCCACCCCCTTTAAAGACATTCATTTAACTGAACGTATGCGCACGGGAAGCTGCATTTTCCTATCAGGGCTGCTGAATTATTTAGCAGCTTTATTGTGGAATCCGGTACTTGTTAAGAAGCGTTTTGAGTTGGGCACTCAGTGTGGACTCCTTTCCTCTCTCTGACTCCGTGACAGCATAACAGTCTTTCCCTCTTGGGTCTGTAGAGTGAACCCAAAGAAATACCTGAACAGGTGGCAAAGCTTAGCAGTCAGATTGGGAGCCGCCTGAGAGGAGGAGGTCTAGAAATATCAGGGACTATTCTCCTTCCTAACAGAGCAGCGCTGCCCACCTCCAGCCCTAAGGTGCAGAGAAGTGCGGCACCATGGGCAGGCGGGCCGGCTGTCTGGGAGCTCCCAGGAGAAGCTCAAGGGCCACAGGGAGCACAAACTGTCCCCTCCCTCCGAGAAGGGCAGTCTCCTCTCCAGCTGGGCTTGGCAGTTAGCTTTCTCCCTGCGGCCATCTTAAAGCTGCCACCTCCTGCCTCTGCCATCTGCCCTCAGGGTTCCAGCCTGCCCTGGGCTAGGGAGTTGAAGCTCACCCACCCAATTTCCCCAGGCTGGAGGAGACTGGGGGCTGCTTTAGGTCTAGACAAGGTCAGAGAGAACCAGCATGGAGAGCCAAGACAGGCATTGGCAGTGACCTGGGACATGGGGATTGAGGCATCTGAGAAGAGAGTCAGGCAAGAACCTGGGTTCCCTAAACTCCTGAAACACCAGGTCATAGGACAAGTTGATTGGGACAGTGGTGGGGGTGAGGGGTAATCTAATGTCACCCCTGCCCATCAGCTATTCCTACACCCTCTGACCAGCTCTGGAGAGGACTGTTTTTTTGGAGAATACTCCCATTTATTCCCATCCCTCTGGTCATCAAATCTGCTTAAGTTTCTTGTAGGAGGTACAGTCTTTGAAATATCTTCTCTTGTAGTCCACCCTCCATCTCCAGACCCTTTCCCAACAGGAAACCCCTCCTTCAACACACTAGAATGCAAGCAGGGAGGGCCTCATAGAGCATTTAGGAGGGTGCTTCCCTGCCTGTGCCTCAACTTCTCTCAGCTGCATATTAAGTCTTAGAATTCTTTTCTCTTGCCTCCCCCCCCAACCCTCAGTATGGGGTAAGAAAGCAGGAGGAGCATTTTGGGGGCCCTGGAATGTGTGTGACTGGAGTAGAGTAGCCTTGATTCCTTCCTCCAAAGGCTTCCCAAGTCTGTGGGGACCAAGATAGAGAAGGGAGAGTAGGTAAGCAGAATTTGGGCATTTTCTGCCCAGAATCATCCACCGGTGTCCTGTTTACGTGTTGGTTTAGAAGTGGTCTCTGAACTATCTTGCCTCCCTTTCCATTTTCTTCCTTTTCTTTACCCTGAAGGCAAGGATTCTAAGTACCATTGTTCAAAATAGGAAGGGAAGAGGATTGGGAGAGGTAGTTTCCTAAATGCGGATAGAAACATTTTGTCCTTTGAAGCCCAAGGCGATGGCTCCTGTTGCAGCCTGAGGGGCCTGCTTTGCTCTGGGGGCTCCAGACTGCAGGCACCAGACTGCAATTACAGGGGATGTGTTAACAAAAACAAACAAACAAAGCTGTTTTCTAGCCTGAATTCTCTTGCTGCTGGCAAAAAAGCAGTTTTCTTTTGCCTTAGTCCCCTGTTTAGGGTGCTTCCGTCCTAGCACCCCTCTCTCCCTTTCATGTTTGAGGGGGTCTCCCCTATGATGGGTTCTCCTTCCCCTCTGCAACCACCTAGGAAGGGGACATGAAACAAGCCTCACTAAAGTGATGGCCTTTCATTGCTCTTGACCCTGAGGGCATATTAAAACTGTGAAAGTCAGGGACCCTCACTTCTCTTAAGTTCTGCAGGAAACCCTGGTAAGCTGAGGGTTCCTAGGCTGTTCAGATGTGGGATCCAACTGGCCTGGAACCCTTAACACTATTTTCCGGACTCTTTTGATGCTACTACAGGTGACCTCAAACAGATATTGGAAGGATAGACCACTTTGAACTCACCCTTATCATCCCCTTATTGCTGTTTGTGTTTACAAGTTTGTCTGCCCCCTCTGGGCTGATCACTTTCAGGAGAGAATTTAACTTACTCATCTTTGTATCTCATCTAGCAGTGCCTGCCACACAGCGGGCAGTTAGGGAATGCTTCATGAAGGAAAGAGAATATAAAGGGATTGCATCTTTCCGTGTGGCTGGGTGTAATTAAACTGATCCTATTAAGTCTTTATATTCTGAGTCTCCCTATGCCCCTCTAACGGTAGACGTTGAGGTTTTCTGCATTTGTGTACCAGTTTCAAGTGTCTGAGTATGCCTTCACCTTTGAAGAGATATCAGTAATGAGTGTATGAAGTAATCTCCTCCTTTTCCTGAAGACAAGGCTACTTGGAGAAACCACAGAATTGATCTTTATTTATTAACAGTTGGAGCGACTTCTAATTATTCCTATTAATAACGACACCAACAGTCTGCCGCACAGTTACACATGCACATCCCTGACGTAGGATTCTTAAATCCTGATCACCACGGGGTCACAGGTATGTGCCCGGCCCCCAACTCCTTCAACTCCTTAAATGCCAAACCTGTTTTGGTCCCAGTCTCTGTGTGCCCCAAAGCGCACCTGAGGCTGGAGAAGCTTATCGTTTACTCCCTTCTCTTTTTCAAATCAGCCACCATAGGCCACGGCCACCCCACACTTTATTTCTAATCGAATCTCAGACAATCTTGAAGCATATTTTATGCAAGGGGACAAGGGCCGCGCGCACTGCAACGTCTGTTCAGCGCCAAAGGAGGCCACGTGCCCTCGCGCGCTCCCGGACCTCCCCATACACCCCCTCCACGCACGCGCACGCGCGCCGGGACCGCGATAGTCCCTACGGCCTTCCGCGCGCTTCCGCCTTCTTCCTAGCAACGCCCGTAGTGACACGCAGGCCCCGCCCCCTCCGGCGCGCGCCTCCCGGAAGTGACCGGCCCCGAGCGAGAGCGGGGTTCTGCGCGGTCCCTGGCTGTTCTGGGCGCTAGTCTCCCGGCAACAGGGCCCCGCGGGGAGAAAGCGTCCAGGCCGGGGCCGCACACTGACGAGCGCGGCGCGGAGCGAGACCTGGTGACGATGGCGGGGCCGCTGGCGCTACAGCTGGAACAGTTGTTGAACCCGCGCCCGCGCGAGGCGGATCCTGAGGCGGACCCAGAGGAGGGTGAGGCCTGACTGGGAAAAGGCCACGTGCGGAGCTGTGGGTCCGGCCCAGGGCAGACCCGGGCGGCGGGAGCGGGGCCGGCAGCTAGGCCTCGCCGCTTGGCCTACTCGGCTCGCTCTGGCGCAGAGGAAAACAGCCTCCCGGGAGGGTTGCCCCGGGCCCGGGAGGAGGGCTTCCGCTTCTTTCTGAACCGCTCGCTAGACTTGGTGCTGGGGAGGACGGAGCATCCCGGCGACTCAGGCTTCAAGGGCTGTTGGAGGCTTTAGGGTCTGGTAGATGGCTGTAAGTTATCTTTCAGCGTGCCCTTACTGGTATTGAGTTAGACAGGAGAAGGGCGTCTCAGCTGTTTTTTAAGTCGGTCTTCCCCTAAGAACTTAACTTGGAGATTGAAGGAAGAAGTGGGATTCCGTGGTGCTGTTTAAGCCTCCTTAGGCCTCAAGACACTTGCTCAGGGGCTGACAAATGAGACTGCTGCTCTGTAAGCTGGTGTTCAAGGTCTAGTTGGGAGAATCCTGCTTTAGACCTGAATCAGAGAAGTGTGAGGAAGAAAGAATAAGGAAGGATAAATGTGAGTGCTGGACCGTGTCTTAGGAATATCAGTTGAAGAAGCTGAGCCGGGGGCTGGGCACATACCCGTGACCCCGTGGTGATCAGGATTTAATATATATATATAGATAGATAGATAGATATCTATACCCCAGGATAAGCAAACTCCCTTAGGGATGGGATGGAGTGAGGGGAGATGGCTGACTTATCATATTTGAGCGACTGTCACAAATGGAAGAGGAATTAGGTTCGTTTTTATGATCCAAGGCATAGAAATATTTCCTACTAGTTAGTGCAGAGGTCAGCTTTCTGTTCAGGAACAGCAGTAAGGTAGTGGTCTTATCTTGAGAGGTAATGAGTTTCCTGCTCCTGGAAGTTGGTTGGGATTTTGTAGAGTATGAGTTAAAAGGGTTGGATAGGGTTACCATTAAAGTTCCTTCTAACCTGGAGATTCTGATTACTTTCCCCCTCCTCTACAGCCACTGCTGCCAGAGTGATTGACAGGTTTGATGAAGGGGAAGATGGGGAAAGTGATTTCCTGGCGGTGGGTAGCATTAGAAAACTGGCATCAGCCTCCCTCTTGGACACAGACGAAAGGTATTCTGGCAGGGCTACTTCTAGAAAAGCTTGGAAGAAGGACCATTGGGAGGAGACTCTGCCAGATTCATCTGGTGAGTAGACATTTGCATAGTACTTCCTATTTCTTCCCTACTTTTTTAAGGTTAAAGTTGTGGTTTTTTATGGGTTTGGCTTTTTTTTTTTTTTCCTTTCGATGATCTCTGCAAGACTAGTCTGTGTGCCCCCACTTACTGTCCTAGGAGACACCATGATTTTCGCAGCACAAAGGACCTTAAGAGGTACCTAATTTCAGGTCATAAGCAATCCAAAGTTCAGAGCTATTAAGTTTCTGTAATCCTTATGTGTAGCCTAATGGTTCACCCTAAAATGGAGAGAAAGGCAATGCATATTGGATATTGGAGAGCGCTATGTGTTGAAAAAGAATTGCATCTGATGGACATGCTACTCATGGATTTTGACCCCTTTCCTTTGGTTTTTCAAGTCTTGCATTGGGTCGCTGTATAATAATAATTTGTGAAGCTCATTTTTTGCCATTGTAAAAATAGCATAATCCTTCCCTCTTCCCTGCAAGAGCCTTAGGAGGATGTGAGGACACGAGCTTATAGTTTTAAAACATTGTAAGTTTCTCAATGGGAATAAGGGAGGGGCTGGATATGGTGATTACTGAGTGCATGCCATCTTTTTTTTTTCCTTTAGAGAGGTGCCATGTTGATAATCTATAGATAAGTATAAAAGAAACCTTCATGGAGGTCTTGATACCCCTGATTTGGCCCTTGGTATAGTTCTGGGGGCTCCTGATAAGCTTATTTCACATTCTTTGTCTAGAGAGTGATAAAGGGCCCAATCGTGAGACAAATGTTATATTTATTGGCCTTTCACCATACGTCAGGCATTGTGGTAAGCTCTTTAAGTGCTTAAAGACTGGAACACAGTAAGTCTTCAAAGGATGTTGTTCCTGTCATCATTACGTGTATCATTTCATTTGGTACTCCAGTAGTTTATGAAGTTGGTAGCATTTATCCCCATTTTACAGGTAAGGAAATTAAGGGACAGATTGGTTATGTAACTTGCTCAAGATCGTACAGCTAGTAAGCAGAAGAAACAGGATTCAAATAAGGCAGTCTGACTCCAAGATCTATACTCTTAACTACTATTCTGTGAATATACCTTAATCTGAGAAATGGCACACATTTAAAGAACTTAAATGATTAATTTCTGCTTACTATTTTTGTACTTCGTTTTTGTTTGTTTTTTTATATTTTGACAGCCCTCTGTATGTCTTGAGTTTATATATAGTTCTTTAAAGCAGTACTGAGGACCTATCACATAAGCTGTTACTTATTTTTATTTATTTTTAAATGTTTTTAAAATTTTTTCAAAGATTTTATTTATTTATTTGATAGAGAGAGACAGGGAAAGAGGGAAGACAAGCAGGGGGTAGCTGAAGAGGGAGAAGCAAGCTCCCCAGTGAACAGGGAGCCTGATGTGGGGTTTGATCCCAGGAAGCTAGGATTATGACCTAAGCTAAAGGCGGACACTTAACGACTGAGTCACCTAGGCGCCCTTTTGCTTATGTTTAATCAAAATTATAATGTCTCCTTCACATGAAGCCAGTTCCTCACCCTTTCAGGAGAGTTAGATGGATCCTTTTCCATATACTGTGTACCAGTGACACTCTAATGATAATAATGATATGAATGTTGGCATGCATATCTACCACTCCCACCAGGCTGTGAACCCCTCCCCACAGGTATTATATTCTACATCTATTACATTCTGTCATTTCTTAGCTTTTTATCTATACCTGGCTCATAGTAGGTGCTTAATTTTAATTTTAAATTTAATTTTAAATCCCTTGCCCCACACTTAAAATTTCTCCCTTCTCTGGGTTATCAAAACTTTGTCAAGTCTTATCTGTGTTACAGTTTCGAAGGGACTGTTTTTCCCACTAGAGCCTTTCATTAGGGTGAGACCCATGTTTTGTTCATCTTTGTTCTCCCTTTAGCATTTTAGAGGTAGTAGATGTATAATAAATATTTGAGTTGAATTGAGTACAATAATAAACTTTATTTTTGATGGATGCTGTAGTCCTTTATTTGAAGTGAAAGATATGGCCTAGTGTTTGTCTCAAAGTGACATCCATCTTTTTTGCTTCTTCTTTTGTTTAGACCAGGAGATACCTGATGAGGAAGAGTCTGGAGATGGAGATTCAGAGGGGCTGGGTCTGGAGGGATCCGATGAGGATGCCATGAGTGCTGCTGAGGAAGAAGAGTGTGATGATGACAGGGACGGTAGTCTGGCCTGGAAGAAGAGCCAAAACCGCACTGGGAAAACACCGGGTTTTAGTGTCCAGAGCATCAGTGACTTTGAAAAGTTCACCCAGGGAATGGATGACCTTGGTAGCAGTGAGGAGGAGGAAGATGAAGAGGAGGAGGAGAGTGGCATGGAAGAAGGGGATGGGGAGGAAGACTCTGCGGGTGAGAGTGAGGAAGACAGAGCTGAAGACAGGAATAGTGAAGACGACGGTGTCGTGATGACGTTCTCTGGCGTCAGAGTTTCTGAGGAAGTGGAGAAAGGAAGAGCTGTGAAGAACCAGATAGGTTTGTACATGGTTTTGCTGTCGGCCTATTTTTCAGAGTGTCTGCATTTGATTTCTGTTTGTTTGTTTTGGCTGTTCCCTCAATCCTGTGTCCTTCCAATTAATTTGTGAAATGCCTCACCTACCTAGAGGCCTAAAGCCCCATTCTTTTGTGCTTAGCCAGTCATTTCTGCACTGAGCTGCTTAGCTGGTTCTGTCCTACTACTTTGGCAGCTGTGGGATATTGAAGAGAAAACAGTTTTCTTTTCTCATTGGACTTCAGCATTCCCTGTCTTGTATAGCAAATATTGGCTTCCAAGATAGTGAATTTATTTCTCCTAATGGCGAGTATTTTCATGGTAAGAAGCTGTGATAAAGCTGTGCTTTGTAGAGACTGGTGTGATTTCCTATCCCCCCAAGTCCCTAACCTAAGAAGATTTTGTAACAGGAATGAAATTCTTTTTTCCATTCTCAGCACTGTGGGACCAGCTCTTGGAAGGAAGGATCAAGCTACAAAAAGCTCTGTTGACCACCAATCAGCTTCCTCAACCAGATGTTTTCCCTATTTTCAAGGACAAAGGTGGCCCAGAATTTGCCAGCGCACTAAAAAATAGTAAGAATACTTATGCCACTTGGGGATACTTAGAACCACTGGGATACATTGATATACATTGTATTTGTAGCACCATAGAGTTGAAGAAGAGAAGATTTGATTTTAGTGATAATGTGGTACAGCATAGTTTTTAACCTTTAAAAAAAAAAAAAACCCAGCAATATAACTCTTATCAAATGAGGACAACTTTGATTGAAATTGGTTGGGTACTTGAGTCATGTCTCTTCCACTTTTCTTTCTTTTCTTTTTTTAAAAAATTTTATATATGTACTTATTTTTGAGAGAGAGAATGGGGCAGGGGGAGGAGCAAAGGGAGAGGGACAAGCAGACTTCCTGCTGTGCATGGAGTCCAATGCCAACCTGACTCCAGGAGGCTGAGATCATGACCTGAGCGGAAGTCAAGAGTCAGACGCTCAACTGACTGAGCCATCCAGGTGCTCCTGTTCCACTTTTCTCTTATCTGCCTTCACTTTCCTCCTCCCCTTTCCTTTGGCTTTCTGAGTTACTTCTTTAATGCTCAGAGAATTCTTATTTGCAAACCTGCTGGTATAGAACAAAAGAGAAAGAATAGAGAATGGTTGATCCCTGTTCATTTTGGTAGTATCATGCTTACAAGATGCTTTTGGGGGTTTCTAGAAAACATGCTAAGATGTTCTTATTTATATCTCTCTTTGGGTTGCAGAGAGGGAGGGAAGGTGATGACTGCAGAGGGAGGAATAAGTTTTGGGAGAGAATTGCTGAGCTATAAAGCCCAAGAATTGTAGAAGAGGGATTTAGAAATTGCTTGGTTTGCAGTCCCCTTATTTTACAGATGAGAAAACCAGGGCCCAGAGAGAATGAGTTACCCAAAGTTCTAGAGCTCACTCATGCACAGCAGACCAAGCTCCAGCTTTCCTGCCTTACTGTTGAGAAGTCTTTCTTCCGTACCACCTAGCCCTCTGTGGGCTGTGCGCTGTGTGTCCAAGGGCACCAAAGGATGGGGGCAGAGAGAGATTTGGGCTTAGTGCACTGTGGTTAGAATTGCTATTCCTTATTTGGTGAGACCTAAGTGTTTTCACTTGTTCTTTAAAAACTTTTTTTTTTTTTTTCAAAGATTTTATGTATTTGAGAGAGAGAGAGAGAGAGCGTGCACAAGTGGCGGGTGGGGGGGAGGGGGAGCCTAGGGGGCGGGCAGGGGAACAGCAGAGGTAGAGGCAGAAGCAAACTCCTTGCTGAGCAGAGAGCCTGATGCAGGGCTCAAGCTCAGGACTCTGGGATCATGACCTGAGCGGAAGGCAGACGCATAACCAAATGAGCCACCCACGCGCCCCAAAACTTGTTTTTATTGTATTGTGGAGTTAGAATTGGAAGGAACCTGAGGAGGACATCTGCCTCCAGGTAGAATCACCTCAAACTCCAAAGTGAATATGTAGGATTTCTTGGGTAGGGGATTCTGCAAACCTTTCTTGTGGGAAAATACTTGCTTTTTTTTCTTTTTTTTTAAACATGGACTCTCTGCCACACATGGGGCTTGGACTCACAGTCCAGAGATCAGGAGTCGCATGTCCTACTGACTCAGCCAGCCAGGTGCCCCAGAATACCTGCTTTAATTAGGAATTGCTTCCTAGGGTCCAGCCTGTAGATTTTATGTCCTGCTGTACTTGAAGTCAGGAGCCCTACAGATACTGTGAGGGTAGATCTTTTATATCCCCTCCATTAGCATTTCTTCCTTCTTCCCTTAAATAAATGATGTTTGGCAGTTTTCAAAATTTTTGAGATTTTTGGAGCGCTTAACTGCTATTTCCTTCCTTCTTTCCTCCCTCCCTTCCTTCCTTTTTTTCTTTTTTACTTTCTTTCTTTTTTAAGTAAATTCTTTGCCCAACTAGGGGCTCAAACTCACAACACCAAGATCAAGAGTTGATGCTCTACCGACTGACTGAGCCAGGCATCCCATTTGTCTGTTATTTTTAATGCCCTGGTACCCTAATTCTTGGTATGCTTTGGAGTGAGACCTAGACTGCTCTAGGTTAAATGTCTGAATTATTTCATGAGGAGACCTTTCCCATCTTGTTATTACTCTTCTTCTCTTCTTGCTTGATACTTTCCTTTCCTTTTTTTTTGATTCATCTTAAAAT